CAACAACAACAACAACAACAACAACAACAACCACAACACCACAACCATCACGACCACGACCACTACAACCACGACACCCACCACAACCACTACCACCACCACAACAACATGCACACTCCCACGACTGCAACCAGCCCTTTGCTTGGGCCCCTGGCCGGCTGTCGGGCGTAAGCCCTTAAATATATAACCAAACCCCCCCCCGCTTGGATTAAACAACATGAAAACCATTGAAAAACCTGCTCATATGCGGGGAGCTTACTGCTCAACAGTCTACATGAGGAAACCACAATTGAACTGGTTGTTGTAAGGAGTTCAGCTAGACCAATCTCTCGGTGAGCTCTCCCCTACTCTCCAACCCAATTGTGGCGGCCAGAAGTTACAGCTCGGCTGGGACGCTCCAAACGAACACGTGGGCTTTCACGTGTTGAAAAATCAAGAACAGTAAAAGACCGACATCTCAGAAATAGTGAACATCTTTTACTCACGACTGTACCTATAATTACTGGTATACTGGGCACACCCTGAACCGATCCGTCCACCTGGTCCATCATGCATGCCTCATTAAAGGCCGCATCGGTGTTGACACTCCGGTTGTTCCACCTGTTTGTCTTTTGTGGGGATACCATAATCCCCAAAATAGCTTATATATAACTCAGATTTATCCACTGACGGGCTAGAGTGACTTTTTTACGGAAAACACCAAAAAAGGACACGTGCGGAGATCCCTTTTGGAGGAGAGGAACCTGCCAAAAAAAACGGCCCAACCCGAAGCAAGTCTGAAGGTTTCCATATTGGAACAAGCAAGAACTGTTTCTGCTGAGGACTGGGGTTTCCAAGAATCACTGTGGTCAACTCTACGAGATGTTTCGTAGCATGTCGGAACACCGACGGGTGTCCAAAAGGCGGAAGAGCACTGTTCCTCTCCTCCGTGCAAATGAGGTTGGCCGCCTCCTGAAGCCTGATACGGTACTCCTCGTGAAGGGGCAGGGCGGAAGCTTGAACTGGGGAAAGGTTGACCGGTGAAAAGATGTGAAAAGCACATGATGTCCACTTCTTGCAGATCCCACTAAGAGGAACCTCGGAAAAAGTTTAACATAGACACCTCGGTCTTTTGGGTGAAACAGTGCAGAAAGATCATGACGGTTCTCACAGAGAAATTCTCATATTTTGGCTGACTGGGAAGCTATAAACATATATAAACATCCTTCATCGACGCTCTCGACACTCAAGAAGTCCCAACAAATCTTATCGTACGAATGGTCCCTCTCTGACTCCACTTCTTGTCACAACAGCTCTGAACTCTGCCTTTGGCACCCCAACAACACCGCTGGAACTCATCTAGAACACCACACATCAGCATACCGGAGGACACTTTTGGGGAGCCAAACAAGGTTGAACTAAAGGTTCCATGGCCGCGTGGGGCATGATGGGTTGTTCTGCGTCTTGTGGAGTTGGAGATCACGGTGTGAAGGGAAGAGCTCGACATGACATCTCTGAGGTCTTCAAGTAGGGGAATTGCAAAATTTCTTCAGGCCAACTTGGACTGTCGGGGCTGACCTTCTGAATTCTATCACAAACTATTCTATAGTTAGTTGTCCTTACTTTGGAGCACTTCGCACCAAGTAATTAGATATGATATGCTTTCGAAAAGGAGCTTCCTTTAAAGGCAATCTGGTAAATTCATGATATTCGTGTTGATTGTAGCAAATATAGACACACAACTAGACACACGCGCACACACACACAGACAGGGGTCCCCATCTTATCAAGGATTTGCGTCACCATTTACCAAACCCGGAGAATCACTGAACATCAAGCGGTTTTCTTCATTCTTCCACAAAACAACGTCTGCTCCCCAACCCCTTCGCTCCGCTCCTCGAGGGGCTGTGCAGTGGATGTGGTGGGCAGAAGGCACGCAGCGCTCAGTGCTCTCTGTAAGGCTTGCTGAGCCGCTCGGCCCATCAACACGCCCGTCGGGGCGGCGAACCCGTGGCAGGAGATCAGCTGTGTCGAACGATGGGGGAAGCACGTCAGGTGACGTGGATCGTCTGAAAATACTCACTCAACGCAACGTTCCAGCCCGTTGGAGTACATCTAGGTGACGAGTTGTGAGGGAATTCCCCCGTGAAGGAAACGTCCTCATGGCGCTGTCTATGGAAATTAGGTTCCATCCAAGCAAACTGACATGCTTTTGCCGTCTATACTCTCAAGTTCCCGTATCTGCATACTGTACCTCCAATAGACCCAAAAGAAAGGTCATAGTGCATCAATGAAAAGTCTGATTTAGGCGTGGGAGGTCTGTACGTGTCTGTGTTAGCTTCCTAGCTTGGGCTGAACTGACTGGTCGGAACTCATTGAGCTGAGCAGAACTGGGGTGAAGTGAATGTCCAAAAAATTTGTGTTGAATGCCAAGAACTTGAACTGTCTCAAAAGCTCAAGCAGAAGCATGCTTTGTGCGAAATCCCAATGAGCCTGGTCACTTCACTTGGAATAACGAAACAAGACCACAAGTCCAACGACTACCTTACGTCATCTTACGTCTGTGCCATGTGTGGTGCTTCCACAGATTCTACAGTAAAAAATATACCAGAAAGGCTACCCACCTCCGCCATGAGTCAACACCCAGCATGCCGTGGTCATAATAAAGTACTTGTCACCACCAAACCAATGCACAAAAAGACATGAACGCACGCAGCGGACGGCGGACGTGGTTTGTAGTCTACGATCCCAAAAAGGTGGTTTCTCTTATGATATGGACATAATATATAATACAGTACTTAGATCATCCTTCATATTTCGGACCAATGATATATGGGTCTACATCTCGACGTGCTTCCTGAAGGGCCCTAAGTTGGGTGGCTTTCTTGTTAAGAATTGACAGTATTGGTCAAACGGGTTGTTGCTGCAAGCACCTTTGATCAAATGGTTTGTGCAGCTTGACTTCGGTGTCATTAGGATGTCCCTTTGGACTCGATGCACCCATCTTCCTGCACTTGGAACACCTGATGAGAGCGAGCAAAACGTCCAGTGACCTCGGTATTGGAATGGTGCATCTGTGGGCAAAATACATACCATGGTTCACCGTCAACAAAAACAAGTTCAGCATGCTCCGCCAATCCTCGAGCCGAAACTTTTTTGGGGGGTGTCCAGGCACCCTCAAACTCTATAGACTCTAAAGACAGGGATCAGCATTGGAGGATCCAGGTACCATAATTGGCTTCGTAGCACTAACTGGAAACCCATCTCCTACAGCTGCATCGTCTGACTCCGCCAAAAAGACTTGGACACTCCGAGGCCCCCAATCCCCCACCTCGACTTGCAGAGCCTCCAGGAATGGAGAGCAGAAAACAAGAAGAGTGTGAAAAACATACGGTAAATCAGGTGGAGCCAGTCTCCAACAAATCATGAAATCAATTAGGTGGACACCATCCATTTGGCGTTTTTTGGTTGTAGCTTAAATAGATTCAATTGATCGCCGGGTCCTGTTTCTACCAAGGAGATGATCTTGCAACACGGCACGTCGCAAGTGGAATTTTAAGGGTAACATGGGGCTGAACATGTGGTGGATGTCATGCTGCATAATACTGACCCACGGGCACATGCTCAAGCAGTCGATACGCACGCTCGATGCCTCGGTTAAGAAGGGAAGATCCTCCGTTTATGGGATGAGTGGTTGAAGTCAACTATACCGGTGCTTAGGGCTCTATTATGCGCATGTAACTGTTGTCGGCATTCTTGGGGCTCCAAGGGTGTTTGCACCACAGCTGTCAGCTGATTCTTCCTTTCCGACCCAAAATTTACAGCAGGCATTTTCATCCCCTCCTTTCGAGAAAAACAAAATGGCTGACACTTTAGGCGCTGCCAAGTGCTGCCACAGGCGGGGAGTCCCCCTGAGCTCTGTCCATCCTTCCTTTTACCCATCCATCAAAATGAAGCAAGACGATGCAGCACAAACATCAGCGAACAAAGGAGTATTATATATATATAGTTATCTATAATTCCATAGATTAAACATGTGTTAAAATTTAAACACTATCCATGAAAGAAAAGAATGGCGGTCACCCTTCCATTATGGTCCCAATCTGCCCATCACACCCATCAAACCATTTCAAACCCCTTCCGCAGGCCGTCCCAACCTCCGGAGGCGTCTGTGCGGACTGGGCAGAGTTTCAAAACAAACCACCCTCGAGTGGATCAAGATGAATCATTGCTTTGGTAACTTTTGGCAGACAGTGGAGCCAAAATCAGTGAATCCTCGAGAGTCGCCCATGTCTTTGCTTTTGGTGACATTGCATGATGTTTTCAATTTGTTTGGCTTTGATTTCACCTAGCTGTTTCTGGTGGCTTTGGGGGCGTCCATCGTTTGATGAGTGGGGTTCAACAGGCCCCGTTTAAGGTGAATTAGCTTGAGTCGGAGAATGTATCATCTGCTGTGGGTAGGCGATCCTCTTTCTTGAACAAGGTGCTAGACCACAAGTGACAACCTTGTTCTTCAAAGTGACCGTGACCTTTTGATATCCCAGTTTAAGGTCACAAAAAGCAAAAAGGCATGAAAAAGTCACTTGGGGACTCCAAAGAGGTCACCATTCGTTCCGAGCAAACCTACCTACCGCTGAAACCGCCCGTCGAAAGGGATTGATCGAATCTGCCCAGCTCATGCAGCCAAGGCTTTGCTACGGCTGGAAGCTCAAGAGCCACTGTTGACCAAGCATTCGAGGCTTTTGGGTTCAAAACACATGGCGGATCATGGTGCATTGAAATGGAGACCACCCTAAGACCAGGCAAAGGCAAGACGGACTTTAAATGAATCCATTGGGTTGGTGGGTCTCCCTAATGTCCATACGAAGCGGACCGTTTGGATGGACGGTGACAGGACTTTCTCACCTGTGCGAGGTCCACCGGACCGTGGCATCCGTTTTGCCAACCTTGACTCCCTTGACCACGCCAAGACTGACCCACCTTTTCGAGCCTATTTCCCCTACAAGAAGCTAGTAGGAACAAGTGCATCGCTACTAGTAAGAAGTGCCTTACTACTAGTAACAAGAAGCTAGTAGGAACAAGTGCATCGCTACTAGTAACAAGTGCCTTACTACTAGTAACAAGAAGCTATTAGAACTAGGCCCCACCTTTTCGGGCCTATTTCCCCTATTTCTTCAGGACCCTGAGGTGTCACCAGAGCCGCAGGAATGACAGCTTAGCCCTAGCCTTGAAAGGTTTGACCCGGTTTTGTGGTCTAAAACCCATATTCAGTCCCATATTCAAACAGTAGTTGTTCTGTAAAAAAGACAGTGAATCAATGGTGGTTGGAAGCCTTGGATGAACCCACGTCCATTGATGCCAGTCAGTCCAGCACTCCAATCCATCCCTTGAATTGCCAGCAAAATCGTCATCCCAAGCGGCTGCAAGATGTGGCAAGCTCTATTTACGTTCACATCTACAGAACTGCTTTCCATTGTTTTCCCAAGTTGTTCACCTCCACTTTTGGCTACGTCCACCCTCCTCAGTCATGAGGTCCCATGAGCCAGCCAACCTCAGTGCCCCTGCTAATCCACCGCGTGATCACATCATGTACTGAACACCCACAGAAAATCCAAAACCTTACGTCACGTCGCAGAAATCCATGAAAAAACTATATAAATCCATCTTCAGAGGATTGGCTCGCTTGGCCAGTTCCCAGCTGGGTTCTCGGACCGTGGAATGCCTTGTGGCGGTGGGAGTGGCGGTGGGAAGGTCGGTCGAGAGTGGCGGTGGAAAGGCTGGACATCTCACTTCCTACAGGATTCAGTCGCGGGGTGTGACTGGGAAGAAGACTCTACACCATTTTCCTCGACCAACAAGTGGTGTCATCCACTGCCATGACTGAAATTCAGTCAGTGTAGTCCACTTGTGCAAAACATCTAATCTAGCTGCTGGAGATACGTAATTACTGTGCATGAGTGTTTCTCAACATTCTAGATGATTAAAGGATGAGACCCTCGTTCATCAATTTCGCTAGAGATTGTACTTGGAGGGTCCTCGGTTTGGTAGGGGAGCAGTATCACCAGCAATCATGCGCCAGTTGTGGAGAGCAAAAAACTGAATATACCTCCCGCAAACTCTTGGACTCTTGAGTTGGCACACCGCAGCGTGTCTGGAGAAAACATGTTTTTCCTCCTCCTCCTCCTCCTCCTCCTCCTCCTCCTCTTCTTCTTCTTCTTCTTATATTTTTCTTCTTCACTGTAAATTTTGGTTCTTTTTTCAGCGTCGATATTCACAGCGTGCAGTCAGTTTGAACTTTCCCACGTGACCATCACACCAACTCCCCTTTAATCCGTTGGTCCGACCTCTTGGCCTTGCTCTGGGTTCCCAGCGAAGCATGGGGGTCCACCACATCGCCTGGGGTGGTGGGGCTGTTGTTTCCTTGACCGTTTGGAAACCCGTGACCGTTTGGGGTGAAAGGAGCCGATTGAAAGAAAAGGGGGTGAGGGAACGGCAGGGAACGGTATAACTCGCTTGTCACATGTTGTCACTTACATTGTGTGTCTCAGAACTTGGTCGATCTGGGTCAAAACAAACGGTTCTGAGACACTCGGGGCTCCAAGGATTCGATCCTCTTCGCTGCCAAACATCCGCTCTCTAAACTGGCCACAGTTGAAAGGGTACGCTTGGGGAAGGCATTCTTGTGAAGACGTACCATGAAGCACCGCCCTGGGGGGAAAATGCTTGTCCGCTAGGCCATGTCCAGTCGCACCACGGCACCACCCGATTCATCGGGGCGGCCCATGGTTGGCTGGCTCGGGTTGGGAGCTGCCCATGGTTGGCTCCAAATCAACGGTGGAAATGCGACCCAAGCTGTCCATCTACAGGACTCTACAGTACACGTTTTGGGAGAATGATCAAGCCCCTGTCGGCCAGGGGGAGGTGGGGTGAGGGCAGTGAGGGTGAGGTGATCTTCATCGAGCCTTCAGTCATTTACTTTTCTTTGCAGAAATACATGCTCAAAGGGACTATTGTGATGTCGTCATGGTGGTGTTGTTGTTGTTGTTGTTGTTAGAGACAAAAACAGCTGCCCAACATAGTTGTCACATGTTGCAAGTCAGGGATTTCAAAGTGACACTGTTAGGGATAGGGTCGAAGGTTTGGAGAGATGTTAGTAGCTGGACTTCTTGTCATT